GTATATTTACAACTACTTGGGTTTTCTGTACAAAACATGGTGCTTTGTGCATTAGAATGGTCTTTACTATTCATTTTCTCATAGCAAATTGTTATCCTAACAGTCACCAGTTTCGATTCTTCCTTCGTATTCATTCAAGCAGGGTCTCCCCTCCACTTTTACCAACCGATCTTGTACGATCGACATATCGATCGATTAATTGCAGTTATTGATGGAGAACTATCGTTGTACAACGTTGATGCGGTACATAAACACTATTGGACAAATCGTTCGAAATTACTTTTCGGCCACCGGTGGACTGGTGACCTTCTTTGCACCGTACAACGAAGCATTCGAACGGATTCCTGAACAGATTGAGCGTCGTCTGCTCAGAGACAGAATATGGCTAGAGCAGGTTAGCGACTACGATCCCGATATGCGTGAATATTGGGACATATTGTGATTTTTGTAAAAAAAAAATCGATGGTTTAAACGCAGATTTTCAGTAAAATATGCGTTAGTGAAAATTGTACGCATCCTTCTTCAAAATGTAAGTTTTAATGAAATATTTGCCTAAAGCAGTTCAGCCTATTAAGCATTAAGGTTTGGGACATATTTCGTTTCATAGCTTCTATGATACTGAGATATTTGCAAAACTCCGGACCGAAGGTGTCTACGATAACGAACGCGCTATTACCCTTTCTGGGGCTAACATACCCTGCTATTAAAAAGAGTGGGCAGTAAATAAAAATGTTAAGGCTGCGATTATTTCGTTTTACTTTGCTCTAAAAGAACCACATGATTTCGATAAAGTGCTGCAGAAAAAGTTTTCACACCAATGTGACGAACAAGCGTTCCGCTGTCCTGGTGGTTATTTACCCTAATCAGCGATTGTACAGACCAAACCACTATACCAATTTATTGGCTCGCTTGATTTTAAGTCTAAGCTATTAATTACTTACTTGAATACTTGGATGGTCCATTCTCACTCTGAGGAATGTTCCGGAGTCTAACTCTTATTTTGGATTATGCTACAACTCGGCCTTTTATAGGTGCTCAAGCTTCACATCGTACCGGCAAAGGAATTAACATCGGACGAGATTAACAATTCGTCAGCTATATTTCATTAAAGGAGAATGGCCTAAAAATAACATAAGTGAGTCTTTCCCTCTGGATGGTGTAGTAAACTCTCGATTATTTACAGAATTATTACCATCTGGCAACATCATATGCATCAATTATTGATTGATTCAGTGGAATAGCTAATTAACGAATAGGAAATGTATTAGTAAGAAAAAGTTCTTGGTCTTGCAAAAATGACATTTGGATTCATAAGTGTGGAAAAATATTGGAGTACCGCTATTTACGGATTATGATCTAGCTCATGCTTGTCAGAATAGACCTTTCACTGATACTTTTGAATTAGCTTCCCCTGATTATACCTCCTCTGCCATGTCAAAGCCTCGGCCACCTGTTCATAGGAGTCCCTCCAGATCAGAATGGAAGAGCCCACATACGGAGTCGGTACGCCCATTCAATCAACAACTTTATATCACGGAACTCCACGGGACTTTTTTCACCAAAAATTGCAGTGGATCATTTTGTATGCAAAATTGTATCCGCTTTTTTCCCATGTTTTTTTCTATGTAGGCATATTTCATACTTCGAAATTGAAAATGTCTCGTTCAGCATACTATGTGATTGGTGGCGGCATTAAAACAGCCATCATTCAAGACAACGTCGCAGCTACCAACGGAATCGTGCACTATATCGAACGAGTTCTCGGAGTACCGTACCAATCCCTATGGGAGATCCTGAGAAACGAAACGCGGCTACAGTACGTTTACGATATTTGCAATATCCTCATCCTTAAACGTCATGTGTATCACTTCTCATTCCACCAAACAAAAAACTCGAGCGCGCATCGTAAACTCCATTTGTCCCAGTGGTTCACTAGAGACACTCGGTGAGCTCTCAGAAGACACAAAGAACATCACAGTCTTGGCATTACCTCCTTCCTTTACTGTTTTTGTCATTCTTATAGCTATGGGTAACTCATCGGACTCCGCTGTGGCAGATTTCCTCCTAGCTTGGCTCGCAGGTGAAAATATTAAACTTCTTAATAAGAGGACCCTCTTCGAGATTTTTGTGTTCAAGAAGCACTTTTTGCCTTCCTTAGTTCTTAAATTTTTTTGCAAGAACAATAATTGGTGAAAATTTAAATGTGCTTTAGTAATCCTACTTATGGGTCACAATCGAAGATCGATAATTTTAGGAGGTCGTACGAGATGCTCACCAACTTGCAGTTACGCTATGCGCTCGATCCATGGCAAGTGTTGACGCCAGAACAGAACTTCACGTTTTTCGTGCCGACAAACGAGGCTTGGGATATGAAGGTACGTTATTGACAGTACAATATGAGTTCTTCTATGAGCAGGCCCATTGTTCAAGTGTTCTACCAATTCAGGTGGCACCATCGCTCCGAGCTCGAATGTTGGACGGCAATCACTGGCTGGCACTCCAGTACGTCTTCAAGAGGCATATTATTCAAGGACAGGTTGGTGAAATATGATGGAAAACTCGTTACCTGTGGTAATACGGCAATTCATCCTGGAAGTGTCTGCAAGGTTTCCGGGAGGAAATAATTGGGATGTGATTCTGATTGTTTTATTTTTATTATTCTTCTTACTTCTCACTCATAAATCCATTAAGGCTCTGATGTATACGGATCTTCGTGAACGAACATATGTGATGATGAACGACGAGAAAGTGGTGATTCGTCGACGTGGACGATGTAGGTTTTT